CTGGGGCGGGCTCAGGCCCGGCTCCCTCCACTGAGAGCCTGGCACTGGGGCGGGCTCAGGTCCTGCCAAGGGTCCTGTGGGCTGGGGCCCGTCCACCCGCACACCTGAGCACGTGCAAACAGTGGGGATGGATGTCCACAGTCGGCAGGACGGGCAGAGCCGAGTCACGTGGCCCCCCCACCCTCTTTCACCCGAGAAGACAGCGGAGCCCTCCCCACGGGTCAGCTTTGGGGAATACGGACGACGGACACACGGACTCTACGCCTGGTCCCCCGCGCCGGCAGCTGGGGGTTTCAAGGTTCTGGTGTCTCAAGGCGCCGTGCGTATCCTTGAACACCAAGTACTATTCCTTAAAGAAGAATGCGAAGCGACGTTCAGGGACACAGTTGTGTGTGCAGATAGTGACGGAAAACAAGCAGAGAGCAGCCGTCCCACCTGTCAGGCAGGTGGGGTGCTGAGGTGAAATGAGTTCCTGTATGTGGCCTTGTGCCTTGGTTCTTTTGGAAAAACAGCTTGAGAGGCAGCATGGCTGAGGGGATGTGCATGGCAGAGAGAAGGGCCTGCTTGCTTGCATGGCCAAGAGGAGCCGAGAGAGCCATCCTGCACCAAACAAGGGAGGGGTGGGATCTCCTCTGTGGGGGAGCCTTCCAGAGTTTCCCTATAAGCTTCCTGGTCCTGATTCCAAGTTGTAGTACCCCATTAATTAATAAGCTGCTTAACTGGAGGTATAGTCTGTGAATTCTGTGCAGCCACTGCAACAAATCATCGAACCCAGCAAAGAAAAAGACAGTGCCGTGGGGAGAACAGCTGGTGTCAGAACTGGTGAAGAAGTTAGAGTGGAAGTATGTCTGACCTCCGCCTCACAGGGATCGGGGGTGCTGCTCTCGATGATGATTCTCATTGTTCCCCCTGAAGTTAACTGAGGTCTGACACCACTTTTTAGGCATCCACGGTGTGGGGCTTAGGCTGGGCCCAGGGGCCCTCACGGTGCTGACCGTTCTTATCTGCCACTCGGATGGGCAGGCAGCATTGCCCACAGCATTGTTCTCTATGCTTTTTCTGTAAAAAGCCTTACAGATGTCATCGCACAGTTTGAGTCTGTACACACATGGGGAAGCCAGCTAGATCTCTGTGCCATCAGCACACGATGGTGACGTGTAGTGGGGCCGCCTGCATGCTGCCTCTGGACCCTGGACGAAGGCGGCCTCTCCTGCCCCACAGTGCCCCCGTTATGGACGAAGGCGGCCTCTCCTGCCCCACAGTGCCCCCGTTATGGACGAAGGCGGCCTCTCCTGCCCCGCAGTGCCCCCCTCATGGAGGAAGGCGGCCTCTCTCGCCCCACAGTGACTCCTCATGGAGGAAGGTGGCCTCTCCCGCCCCAATGTCCCCCTCATGGACGAAGGCGGCCTCTCCTGCCCCACAGTGCCCTCCTCATGGAGGAAGGCGGCCTCTCCTGCCCCACAGTGCCC